GCCCAAGGTTTGCAAATTTTCCTCTTCTGGCTATTATTTCCTGTGCTTTAATACAAACAGTCCTCTTCTAATTCAAGGAGCAAATGTGCAGGAGCTACAGGGGAATGTTGAAAAAAATCCTTTGCATCCTATAACCATTAAATTGTTCAATAATTACATTATGGCTGTTTGAAAGCTAACAATGAAGGCATTTTGTTAATCCTTTGAACAAGTAGAACAAGGAAAGGTAAACTCAGGCAAAAGTACTTACTGCCTATTGACAATACTAGCATATGTAAGAGAATAACTCAAAGCCACACTTCTGCCTGAAGCAGTACTTCCATCACTGCCTAGATCTTTTCATCTATTAATATCTGCAAGCTGAGTTATCTTGTCCTTCAGTGGCCCAGCACAGCCTTGAAATAGGGGAAATAGGGGAAAGGCACTCTTCATACTGCAGATGACATTGTGTTCAGTCCCTACTATTGACTGTTGAAGGTGATAAAAGATTACATACACACTTAGCAAGAATAAAGACACTACTTTGAGTAGTTTTTCTCAAACTGGAGCCCTCCAAATGCTTTGGACACTTATCATTGAACATGGTTATCTCGTGTGATTGGAATTCTACTTCAATACATCAGGAAGGAACTACATTGGGGAAGTCTGGCTTAAACTAACTGGCATCTTGGCTGCATCTTGAATTCAGGGGTATCCAACAGAACATGATACCACCTGGGCATGGCATGGGCAGAAAAGCAGAAGGAGGAAGAAAAGCTAACAGTTTCTCCGTTCATCTAAAAGTCATAGTACAGGTAAAAAGATAAAGGTTTCCCTTGACATTTAGTCCAGTCATGTCCGACTCTAGGGGGTGGAGCTCAACCCTGTTTCCAAGCCATAGAACCAGCATTTGTCTGTAGACAGTTTCCGTGGTCACGTGGCCAGTGCGACTTAGACACAGAATGCTGTTACCTTCCCACCATGGTAGTATCTGTTTATCTACTTGCATTTGCATGCTGTCAAATTGCTAGGTTGGCAGGAGCTGGGACAAGCAACGGGAGCTCACTCCGTTGTGTGGATTTGATCTTACAACTGCTGGTATTTCGACCTTGCAGCACAGAGGTAGGTTGCAATAAATGGCATACCTAAAAGTGCCTTCTTCTTGAAGGCAGCTCAGCATGTGTTTGTAAAACAGTTCCTGAATCACAATATTTATGCTGGCTCAGCAGCATTTTAACTGGAAGCAACAGCAGATTTTGGAGTTTACAGTTAGTTATGACCCGTTCTCTAAGGTAAAGGTTTGACGTTTTGCTGTTACTACTATGAAAGATGCTACTCTTTTTGGGAAGCAGGCAGCATTGTAAGGATACAGAATTTGGAACAGAAAGCCTATATTACAGAAAGCATGTATTTTATTTTGCAATGAAATAACCAAAACACAGAAATGCTTTCTTGCATGTAATTTGTGTTCTTTTGATGACTGCCAAGAGTGCCTCTCCACATAAATTGTTTAAAAAAGAGGGATATACAAGTTTTGTGTATCTTTCATGTTCTCTCTCTATATATCCTTTCAGTGCCCTTTCACCCTCTGTCAAATCACCCGTGAATTCCCCCCAGGAGTGTCACAAAGGGTGTCATCAGTCAATCAGAACATCTATGGGAGGCAGGAACTTTGAATATGTAAAAGGACCTGGAATCCAGCGAGTTCTTCTTATTGTCACTTGTTAGATTTATTGTATGTTGAGTAACTTGTGCCCTCTATCTTGAATTGCTGCCTGCCTCTTTACTGTGTCTCCATATTGAATCCTTCTCCCTACCCATTGCTTTTTTTTTGAGAGGAAGATATTTTCCTTTATTGGAACTTTTTTGCTGCTGCCTCCTGGACTCAGATAAGAGAGGGCATCTGGAGGGGTCTGTAGCAGTAGGGCTTTCCCTGTTTGACTGATTATTTTTTTTTCCTGTGTATTTATTCTGCCAGTTGGATGATTTTTCTTTCTTATCTGTTGCCTGATCCTGATGAAGAGGACAATAGATGTTGTAGCGGAATCCAAAAGATGACATCATTCCTGCCTGTCAATCAGAGGATAGAGCCGGAGGGGCGGAGCAAAAAAAAAGGACAGTTAAGATAGCTGGAAAAGACAGGGAGACAGTTGGAATGAGATAGGGATAGAGTTGGAATCAGGGAGAGATAGAGAGTTAGGGACCACAAGATATTGAGAAAGTGTTAGGGTTTAGGAATGGATAAAAAAGGGTTCAGAAAATAAACTGAAAGATTAAAACACACATGTAACAGGCAAAAATGAACTTATAAGTAAAACATGGGAGATATTGATTTAAAGTACACAAGAGTTCTGAATACTAGTGATTGAACACTTGATCTAATATATGCACACCTGACACAGTTATATATTTGATTCTCCTTATGATTTTGTTCATTAATAAAAGAATGTTTAATTGAAAACTTGATTCCTAAGTTATATGAGCAACTCCTGTGTGTGTGGGACTTGAATTGGTATTAAGAGAATACCTGGTGGCAGCGAAAAGGGCGTATTTACCTTTGTAGAGCCCAAAAATACAAAGGGCACAAAGGGGGATCGCCACAGAATAATGTAAATTAGTGTGTACATGGAGTTGATTGTGATTTTTCTTCTCATGTAATGTTGCCTGCTTTTAGAGTTAATCTGCGCCCAGTTTGCACTGAACAGGCTCCATATTTATTTTTAGCTTGTCATTCAAAATTATGTTCTATAAAATAAATTTGATATTATTGGTATATAAACAAAGGATTGCCTAAAATGAGCTTAGGAAACAACAGCAGGGGAGTTACAGTAGTACATTGGTTTACAAGCCGAAATCCGTAAGAAATAATGCCTTGGTTTATGTTTTTACGAGGCTTTTTCGCTGTACGAAAAGGACTCATCGCACCTGGAGGTTTCTAGTGCTGCCTCCGTTGCTATGGCAATCCGCGTTCCAGTTTACGTAATTTCCGCATTATGTAATGTAATGATTAATGACAACACTGGCTTCATTTCAGCAACAAGTGAAAATCAGACTGTTGAACAAAGTTTTTGGAACCCAGTGATTTTTATCTTGGCTCTGACCAATTCAGTTGTGGATCACTCTTTATAATTTCTGTCAAAATATTTATAATTGTTTTTGGTTGCTTTTATGATTGTACTATGCTCTAAAAGCTCGAGATACAGGGAATAAGATTAAGGTGTTTTTTTAAAGGCATTTCTGTCCTCCATAAGGCATACTCCTATATATGTCCTCAAGAAAGGGAAACTGAAGCACAGAATTACTATTAAAAATGACTTAAGAAGCACTACAATGCACCAATTGCAATTCCTGAACAACTCCCACAAGGGCTGCTCTCAAAGATTTCTTCAGCTCCTAATTCTGTGTATGAAAGCACAATTAGAATCACTCCAACTAGCTTCAGCTTATCTTTAAAAACAATCCCAGTGCTCAAAAGTTTCCCTTAAATGTTCTCAACCTTTTATAATAACTGCATCCTATTAATTGAAGAAAGGTAGCAAGATACTCCAGGAAATCTAGCAGCAGTTGGTTTTGTAGTAAAAAAAAAAATTTGCTTTTTTAATGGCCATTTCACACTTTTAAAAAGGAAAAAACCCAACAATCTCTTGCCTGCTATCGAACATATACAGTGAAAAACATGAAAATGCATATACCATTGGCATGAAGTGTTAATGTAAGCTATATAGTAAAGCTTTGTTATCAGCTGTTTTGTTTATGTGTGTACATCTGCAAACACAGTAATTTGTTGTTGTTTAGTCGTTAAGTCGTGTCCGACTCTTCATGACCCCATGGACCAGAGCACGCCAGGCCCTCCTGTCTTCTACTGCCTCCCGGAGTTGGGTCAAATTCATGTTGGTCGCTTTGATGACACTGTCCAACCATCTCGTCCTCTGTCATCCCCTTCTCCTCTTGCCTTCAAACTTTCCCAACATCAGGGTCCTTTCCAGGGAATCTTCTCTTCTCATGAGATGGCCAAAGTATTGGAGCCTCAGCTTCAGAATCTGTCCTTCCAGTGACCACTCAGGCTTGATTTCCTTCAGAATAGATAGGTTTGATCTCCTTGCAGTCCAGGAGACTCTCAAGAGTCTCTTTTGCACCAAAAGCATCAATTCTTCAGCAGTCGGCCTTTTTTATGGTCCAGCTCTCACTTCTACACATCACTACTGGAAAAACTATAGCTTGGACTATGCGGGCCTTTGTTGGCAAGGTGATGTCTCTGCTTTTTAAGATGCTGTCTAGGTTTGTCATCTCTTTCCTCCCAAGAAGCATTCCTCCCAAACACAGTAATGCTATTAATTTAATAAATGTTTTAAGCCCATTTTTGAGCATCAAATTATGAGTAACTACATTTCTTTTAGAACCATCAGATTTTACTGCTGGGGAAGCTAACACTTTTCAAAAATTCACCAAGTTCATATTAAACAAGAAATTAACATCTCATGTTCTACACTTTTCTGCAGCCTTAAGAAGTTTTGTACTTTACAGTACAAGGCACGTACAGAGTCTCTTCCTTCAAAACATAGCAGATGAACTCCCTGAAATAATTTCAAAATCCTCAAAGCAATTAGAAATACTACAAACTTTTTTAACGTAAAAACTTTGCTCCTACAAGACCATGCACATTTAGAAAAGTGATTTAACAAGCACATTAAAGTGACTTTTTTACATATGTACCTGTACTGCAAATATAGTGAATTAGAGTGCTTTTTATTCTGGATTATACTATTAAGAATTTGGACTTTATTTTATGGTCATAATCTTTAGTGCCTTTGAGGATTTATAGTTATAAAACAATTAAACCCACCACAAACATTGCTTTGAAAAACATCACCTGCTTTTCAAATAATTAAGTATTATTTCATCAAGGGACTTGAAATACATATTGTAAGTGCTTTTATTAGTTAATCTAATGTCATAAAAAATTTCCTAACCCCTCTTTCGGCCAAGAATATCTTTCCATAAAAACAACTGATTTTAAGAGGTAGATTTCTCCATGATGCACTTATTTATTTCAATTTTTTTTTAAAAAAAGTTCTCTTTAGACCAAAGATCACATCTTGAAAAAAAGGCTTGGTACATTATTTAATATAGTTCAGTGATAACAGTCCTAAGCAGTCGTGGAACCTGTTCCAAGGCCAATGTCTTTGATGCTTTCTTCCTCAAAACACTAGCCTCCCAATAGTACTAAAACCTCCACCGCCTCCTCCACCAGTTGGCCCACAGCTCCCTGGAGGGTCGTTGTCATCAAATCCATTGGGTCGAAAGGAGCATGAAGCTGCAGCTGCTTGTAAGGCCTGGGTTCGAGCACTAAGCTCTTGTTCCTGAAACAGAAAGATTAAGAGCTGTCACACACACACATTTTGACTCTAACCAAATAGGGATGGGATGACACATGTATACCAGCCTCATTCACATTCACTTAAGAATCCCTCAGGCAGCTCAAAACCAGAAAGTTAACACTACACAGCAGGGCTTTTTTGGTACTGAACATCTTTCTTGGCACTCAAACATATTTGTTTTAAACACACATTCAACTGCTTATATTGCTATCAAGACAGCTAGAAGCCAATAACTGGAAGCTGGGAATTTTATAATCTTAAAATGATTCTGACTGTAATTGTAGTGCCCAATCTCCCCAAGGAGTGCTTAGCACTCGGTCAGAGAGTTCGACAGGCCACTTACCTACCACCTTTGCGCTGAGGCAAGTCCCAAGACCCTAGCAGCGCACAGCATAAGCCCCTTGAACAAGTCTGACCTTAAAGGAACACTTTTACCCAGTACTTTGCAAGTACAGACACGTGAGCTTTGTGATTCCTTAGAACTCACAACAGCTCAGTTAGGTAGGACTCTTAAAGATAGCTAGTTTGTGCCCCCTCCACCTCCTGGATTTAGCCAGACCCTGCTGTTCAAGAGACCAGTCCTTTGTAAAGATTTTCATAATTAATTTTTATTAGAAAAATAGTTTCATAGAATCAGTTCACATTCCTCAAGCTTTAGCATAAGGAACATATTCAAAGACTATTACAGTTAAATAAAATAACTAATTCCCATTAAAATAATAAACACTATTAAGCTGGACTAAGGTGGACTAGCCCCACCTCCTTCTTTCCACCTCCATTCTTTCTCCTTCAAGCCACATACTGAAACCATCAAGTTATTTTTCCCTCCCATCATCATTGAATAGCACTTCTGAACTTCTTCCACATAACCCATCGTCCATTTTCTACATCCTCTAACTCGTCCCTTCTTCTTGACACTTCATGGCTGTTAACCAATTAGTCTTGAGGAGCTATAACATCTTCCTCCTCCCTCAATTCCCATGAAAATCCAGGTGTTTTATCTCTTTTCCAATTAGCTCAGAATGTTGAGTCTTTCATGGGCTCCTTCAGCTTTATCTCGAACCACACTGTACCAGTTTTAAGAAAAACACTCTCATAGCACTTAGAAAAACACATTCCAATGTCTCTCAAATCATCTTCACACAGAACCTATCTGACTCCATTTAAAATTTCTCTGACTGCATATCCTACACTGCTTCAACTCCATCACACATCGCCCCTTAAATTTCAAAAATATGGGGTTATGTATGAGCCTACATTTTTACTAAACCAAACCTAGGTTACATGTTGACCAGATAGGCAGGATATAAATAGATTGAATGAATGAGTGAATGAATGAATGAATGAATGAATGAATGAATGAATGAATGAATGAATGAATGAATGAATGAATGAATGAATGAATGAATGAATGAATGAATGAATGAATGAATGAATAAATAAATAAATAAATATTTTGGCCTAGTGATTTCACTAGCTGTGTTAAAGTTATACAATGAAATAAATGGCAAAATGTTTATTATGCATTCTAACTAGTAAAGCATTGAGGTAGAAAAAGTTCTATCAGCAGCAACTGAATATAGAACTCTGGGGTTAAGCATTTCTAGAAGTCTGGAAAATAGAAAACATTCATGTTAGTAGTAAAACAGAATCACACTTTGGTTATGCTCAGGAACCAGTAAATCAGAAAAAAAACTTCAACCATCTGCCACATTTGAAATTCCACAATGCATCCTGGACAGGCTGTCTGCGATGACATTCAGCTTCCCAGGAATGTGCTGAACCTTGAAATCAAAATCCTGTAAAATTAAACTCCAACGCAACAATTTTTGCTTATGAGATTTCATCTTTTGAATCTCCTTCTCAATCTGCACAACATGAGCCCTTACAGCCCTATAGGGACTCGACCTCACAGGTGGGCTGTCCCCAATATTTATAACATGGGTAACCAAATCAGTAGAACCAGGTTTGTCAGAAAACACACCTTGGTAGTATTCCAGAATTTGAGAAAGCCACTCCTGCTCATCAGGAGTACTCGAAAGAACTGTCTAGCCAATTTTCATATTTTTCCAAATCAGACAAAACATCCATAGGTTCCTCTTCTGGTCTAACACAAGCAACTCAACACCTCAGAATCACAGCTGCTCTGTCCTGATACGGTTTCAGGCTGCTGACATGATAAATGGTAGGCTTTGTTCCAGAACCAGGCATTTGAACAAGATAATTCACAGTTCCAAAATTTTGCAGAACTTTGCCTGGGCCTTCCCAGGAAACCTCCAGCTTATTAGGTCTGAGGGGGTTCAAGACAAGAACAGAGTCTCTCAACTCAAACTCTCTGTGCCTTGATTTAAGATCACGAAAATACATTTGCTTAGTTTGGGCCTGCTGGATATTCTCTTTAGTTATCTCCTGAATAGCTTTCAGCTTCACCTGCAAATTGTGCATGAAATCAGCAACAGGCACAGAACAGGTTTGGATGGTACCTTCCCAGTCAGCCCTCAACAAAACAAAAGGCCCCCCACAAATTTTTCCCATATACCACCTCACTTGGGCTGAGTCCGCCTAATGCCTCGTGAGGTGCACTTTAGTAGGCCAAGAGGACCAAAGGGAGAACTTCGTCCCACCCCCTCCCAAAGTCCTAAACAAAAGTTTTAATCATCTTGAGTAGTGTCTGCTGAGTGTGCTCTACCAACCCGTGGGATTCTGGGTGGTAAGCTATACTGTAATTTAATTTAGTTCCACTGATTTCACAGACTTTCCTCATCAGTTCACTTTGAAAAGCACCAGCCCTGTCACAAATTAACACAGATGGAATTCCAATCCTTGCACAAACTTCCAGAAACACCTTGGCAATGGAATTTGCGGAGATAGTGGCGACAGGGTAGGCCTCAGCCCATTGGCTGGCCTGGCAGATGAATGTAACAATAACTTTTTTTGTGACTTAGAAGGCAAAAAAGGTCCAAAAATATCTATTTGAAGACAGTTAAAAACTTCACCTACAACAGGAGTTGGCTGAACTTTCGTTTTAGTTTTATCATTGTGGTGCCCCACCCTTTGGCATATGTCACAGGAAGCAACAAAGTCTTTCACAATTTTCACCACGTCTGGCCGTTAAAAATGCTGAGTAACTCTCTGCAAAGTCTTTTTACATCCCTGATGTCCTGAAAAAGGAGAATCATGTGCCAATTTAAGACCCGCTGTCTGTACTCTCGAGGCACAACTAGTTGTTTGGACAGTTCTAAATTCACCCTAGAATCTTGAGCATATTTCTGGTGCTGAAACAAATACATTTCAATTAATTGGCCCTCTGTACTTCTTCAGTTTAGACTTTTAAAAATCTTTGGAAGTTTGCTATTAGCTTACCTTCAAAATTCCATCACAGGCTGACCCAGGGAGCCTGGGACCCAAAAGGGAGGAGGAGAGGAAGCTTTAAATTTAATTAAAATGAAAGGTAAATCAAAGAGTGTTGCACCAACTGGATTTCAGCCAATATCTCTGAGGCCTTCGCTCCATTTCTTTTGTAGAATTATTGCTTCATTTAAAGAAGCTAGGCTCACTCTCCCCTTCAGAAATACCTTTACAATCTGGATCCCACCAGACGCTTTGTTCCTTGTTATATTTAACAGCCCACAAGAGCCAATGGTTGATCTGGTTTTAATCAACAAACACACAGTTCACATCCTCAGGCTTCAACAACTGAAAATCACCCAAAAAAACTGGACAAGATGCCACTCTCGGCACCCTTACTAATTACTTTAATTATAGAATCTAAGTCATAGCAGATGCGTGCAACTTTCAGAATAGTGTTCTGTAAATTTATCATAGCAAGGTACTAAAGAAAAAACCTCCTCCTGCATCAGTTTCAAAATGTGATACTATAACCTCTAATGATATTAGAAGGGAAAAAAACAGTAGCATTGTCAGTAGACTTAGTAAAGCACTTTAATTTATGTTCAGTCATGCTCATCACAACTCTTCTTCCACCTGATCTTAGCTACTTCTCAGCTTGTTAAAAAAAACTACACAGGTTCTGCTCAGTGTAAACAAGAGTGCCTGGCACAGTCATGTCAGCTGGCCAAGTCACTTCTATGTACCAGAGGGAAACTGGACTTTTGAAAGGTGCAAACATCTTATCAGATCAAAATTAAAAACACAACATAAAACGGTATAGAGCCCCCAAGTTGGCTGTGGATATGTGAACCATTTATATAGTTCTCACAGGCACACCCACAGATGAGTGAAAGCCAATGTTTCAACAGGAGACAATGAAACCATGAAAAGTGAGGCAATACAAAATCCTCAACAATGAGAACACAATCTTCTGGCTCTGCAAAAAATGTCAAATCCAGAATCTGACCTGGAATTACTACTTTTCCAACTGATAACATGTTGGGGCAGCCCCACTGCCAACAAGCCTTCAACTGCCTCAGACAAAGCAGCCGTGGCATGAATTTTGAAATTTAGTGGTTGATCATCCTAGGAGTACCCAACACCATCCTGACGTTGTCTGCCAACTCACACAGGAAGTCTTGGAGTAAAACCTGTGTAACTAAACCTCAGTTACTAAACTAAACCTGAACTAGAGCTACTATTTCATAATCAGAACAAAAAATGATTAAAAACAAAACAAAACTAGCACCTGATATTACTTTAGAAAATTCTTTGCAACTTGCAGTTCCATTAATCTCAGCATGCCAAACATTTCTATTGAGCACATAACATAGACAACACGATGACCAAAATACATAGTTACGATGCCATAAGAGAAAAGGAATAACTTGCAGTGACCAATTCCCACTAATTAACAAGTCCCCACTTGGCTTCCTCATCAGATTGTGAATTTTCACAAGGTAAAAGGTGAAAAACTAGTTTTTCACAGTAGCAGAATAAGTGATGTATGGACACTGTTCATTATTGTTATTATTGTTACAATAAATCAGGTAGAAGCAGTTAAAAACCAACAACTTTTTAAAAGAAAATTATATTCAAAATGAAAAGGCCTTAAACCCAAGAGGGCTCATGGGAGAGGGGCATCAGCATCTCTGCTCCTCAGAGAATTTGGAGAACATGGGAAATAAGACTTCCACTCCAGAAACACCACTAGAAGTTGGAAATAAAAGCTACAAGGCATCATTGGCAATGAAGGAGGCCCCTGACTCAAGAGTTACGGCACATATAAAGTACTTTTGAATAATGGGATTAGTAGTTACTGTATCCATCCATGATCATGCATTTGCTAGCTCCATGCAAGATGATACTGTATATCTATGGGCAAGTAAGGACATGTTATAACTTTCTTTGTAAAGTGCCAGGTACATAAATGAAAAATACTGCTATTGCTACTAAACCAAGGGTTTCACAATTCTGTTATTAGCACTCACTTTCTCAATTAATCAAATTCTGAATTCTGTACTAGGTAGAGAAGGTACTAAAGGTGAGCAACTCTATCTCTCCAGAAGTTTTGGCCTACAACTCTTTCCAGAACTACCCACTACATCCAATTGTGAAGAATTATGGGGATTGCAGGCAAAAAACAACATGAGGGCCAGAGTTGCTGAGCCCTCGTTTAAACCGTTAATATTTAAACATTATGCTTACAATAAAATTTAGATTATTTGTCTCAACATCATGAAATCTTGCAGTCTATGATGTGATAGCTACAAGATGCCCAAAGCTAAAGAATTCTGACAAGCAGCTGAGATATAGAATGTTCTATCCAACACCATTTTTGTACTGTAGTTTCCTTCTGTCCATCCTTCCTACCACATACCCTAATTTTCCTGTACACTAAAAATTTTTGAAAGATGATTTGAAGTGATTTGCAAACTATGTGGAATGATATGTGAAATGACAAAACAGTGTTACGGTTCTTGTGTCAAGAAATGTTACACCACAGAAGCAGGAATGGTCAAACAGTTCTATGCCTCCTCTACACTCAACACCCATAGACCACATGCCTGATATTTTTTTTGAGGACACAGTTCTTTTGACAGGTACTGTAATTCTCAAACTGTAGCTGGATTTACAACTACAGCTAGAGGCTCAAATTAAGCCTAAATCAGTGCCAAAGCCACATTTACAGTGCAATCCTACAAGTATTAACCCAGAAGTGAATTCCACTAGAATGCAGACCTTCCTCTTTACTCAAACAATCCACATTTAAAGCATTCATACAACCATCTTCATTCACATCTACAATATCTGCATCTTACCTGCAAGTAAAGCTTATTGTCTTTTGTAATAGCATCCATAAGGTCTTTCTGTAGAGGAGGATCTCCATTGATCCAGAGTCCATTGGCTGATTTAGTGCTGAGAGCACAAGTACTGTATTGTTTTTTGTAAAACAGCACATAAGCAGTGTCCTTGGGGAATCTGCTTGTTATTTTCTGGACTGACTGAAATGAGGTAAATGTCACTCTGCTATCATTAAATAAAAACCATTCCTTTGATACATCACTGTCACCTAGTTCCTTTTCAACAGCTGCCACAGGAGCCTCTCCAGCCATTAAACTGTTTTGTGGATAAGCTAAAGAGAGATTTTGGCCTTGATCCAAAGATCCCAATGAAGGCCCTGAACTGGCAACATTACGGGCATAAGAATAATAATGCCCACTTTCAGAAGATATGCCAGAATGCACAACTACAGAACTTAATACATAAGGGACCAGTTTAGGGCAACCCACTTCTTCAGCACCAGAAGGCTTGAGTTTTTTGGCTAGATTCTCACCAGTGTCAGAAAACTCAACACCCATAGACCACATGCCCGATACTGTACTTGAGGACACAGTTCTTTTGACAGGTAATTCTAGAACAAGTGGAAGAGACACATTGTCCAAAATTTTGCGCCTTATATGACACTTCGGATCATATGAAAATCTTAAAAGAGTGAGAATGAGGTATTCTGGCTCCTCCACAATTTGCATAGTCTTTTCTGCATTCTGTAGGGAGACACATTTTTCACAATAGTATTTGTTTTCCCCTTTAAGAATTTCAGGTGCCAGAAAATAATTTAACAAGTCTGTAACTGAAGGAGCAGCCTCACTGGCATTTTTCCCCAAACTATCTCTGTCTTCAGTCTTGCACGTAAACGGATCTGTAGCATTTTCACAGTTTGAGTTAACAGGGAGATCTTTCAACATTCCATCATTTGTGACCATTCCACAGCAGTCACCAACTGCTAGAACATCAGATGCAGTTTCCGCCACAGGGTTGAGTGCTCTAGGACTGACTTGTTCCATGGAATCATCTTTTCCTTCAGATAAATTTTCTGCACTAGGTGGGTCAACACTGTCCAAGAATACTGGGGGACAGAAAGCAAGTGAGAGATCTGTGAAGGGCTCTTCTTTCTGAGAAGTACTTTTGCAGTTTAAACAGCAAATACTTGTTTGCAATTTCCCTCGAAACATTTTCTCTATCAAGGTTCTCTCCTCCGTTACTGTGCAAGATGGCTTGGTCAATAGCTGAGTCTTGTTGGAGACCTCCTGGACAAGAGACTCTTCATTCACATCTTCTGAAAGTTTTGATGATGAGAGAGCTTTCAAAGTCCTCTCTTCTTCATGCAGCCTAAGAAAGAAATATTGAATCAGATTAATTCCAGAAACTTATTATTTCAGCTATCATTTCAGTGTATACATCCTGTTATTTATGTATCAGACCAGGACAAGTGTGGAAAAAGACCCTCTGAACGGGAACCTACTATAGTCTATGCTTCTGCTGCTACGAGCTTCAAGTAGTTGACTTTTGAGCCCTAATTCAGCCCACAGTGCCACAATGGGCATTACTGAATTTATGTGGCAAACCACTGCCAGCTATTAAAAGCAGGCAAAAGACTCAATTTTACATGTGGCTTCCTCAGTGAAATTCACTGAATTCCCACCAAAACTCAGTGGGGTAACCTGCCTACTGGAGAAGACTGGAGTTATTTAGTGTGCCAATTCTGCATTGCATGTGTTTGGTTTGCAAGTCTGTATGTACTTGCATGACCAGTGACTGAGCTGAGACAATTATATGTGGGATGTGTGGGAGTTGACAATGGAACTTTATGGCAGTTGACAATGGAACTTTTGTAAAAGTGGAACAGCAAACTGATTGGTCCATATGGTTCATGACTGGAGAAACCTTTTGCATATAAGGACTGACAAGAAAGAAGTGTGTGTGTAAAAGACTTAATTAGACAGGGAGTAAGAATGAGTTGTGAGCAAGCTATAGTTACTAAAATGTGGTTTGGGTTTCTGAGTGTATATTACGAGACTGAATAAAATTGCAGTCTTATCTGTGCTTGGGTTAAAGCAGATACATATGGATATGTTCTAGATATACAGGGAGGGGGAGGGGGAGAGAACATGAATAGAAAGTGTTCAAACTAAAAGCAAGGGAAATGCATTTTCAGATATATAGCATAAAAGTTGTACGCTGAACGAAGTGACAGCTTGAAACCTTGTTCTTACATTTTATTTTTCCCTGGTCACTGAACCTTTTATACCTGTTATGTGTTTGATTTAATGCCACATCGTTTGTAGCATCATCAAAGCAAACAAAACTGTCTTTCAGTAAAAACAGTCTTACATTAAAAGGGTAACATGCAGTAAGCGCCAAGGCTTTGATAGAGTTGCAGCAACAATATTTAAGGGGACTCTAGCTATTTTCCTTGCTTGGTAATAGAGGAATCCCTGTCCACATACACAGCAACCCTAAACATTCAGCATCCATCCAACATTTCATGCACTGAAAAGCAGTATTTTATAAAAGGCTACTGTTTGGGTAAATACTTATCAAAGTACTCTTCTCACCTGTCTAGCAAGAACCTGAGATACTCAGAGCAGTCCTGCTGAGATCTAGGAGTAAACCATGGTGGTCTTGAAGCTTCAAAGAAAATCCGAGGAGCATACGCTTCCCTCTATATGCAGACAGGAAACAAATTCACAACATTGACACCGTGCAATGATGTGTTCCTTAATGCCTAAAAAATACTGAGTCAAATAAATTGCATACAACTCTAGCAGTGAAAGCATAATGTCTTATCTATAAATTACACAAACTACAGAATTTCAGGTAGTAGAAATACATATGCTTCTATTTTACAAGTACCGTAATGCTATTTCAAGTTCTAAATGTTGCACCAAACTGTAAATCAAAAATACAAAACAGATTTACTCAAAAGACACACAGACATGAAGGAGGACCAACAAAAAGTGCAGCAGTATTATTAATGGTGAATCCCTTCTTTTCCAATGCATTTTGGTTCCCTATATAACAAAAATGCATATGGATGTATTCTGTTGCTTTTTACTACAGGCAGAAGGAAAATTACCAATGTGGCTGTGACTAACTGATGAGATGTTGTGTGCCTGACAATGCACCCAGCACCTTTTCAATTAGAAGTAGCCACTTCCACACGTGGTAAAAAGTAGAAGATACTGGTCATTAGTTTTTTTTGTTTAGCCAGTTTTAGATCTTCAATTTGTTTCATAAATCAGTTTCAAAAGCTGGAAACAATAACTGAACCCAGTCTTTGTACACATCTAAAACTTTGCTACTCTGAAAATCTCCTGACCATAATGGTTGCTTTTAATTACGCTCTTATTTTCAGAAACAGAATTTGTATTTTAAAATTTCATTTATGGAAAAATAGTCAACAGTTTGGCTGCAGGACATCTAAAAATATGACTCGACTCACAACCCAACAATTCAATTCTACTTCAGATATGCCAAATATATTTGTTCTCAAATATACAATTTATACAGATATTTATTTTTGACAGTGGAATATTTAGGTATATGCCAATTGTTTTTATTACGGCTATAACATTTTTTAAAAAGTCATACATACCTGAGTATGAGCCAAAAATGCAAAAAGATGTTGCAGCTTTCTCATTAATGAATTGCACCCATTTAGATTTAATGACAATACATGTCTTCTGAAACTGAAGAGGGAGAAATAGATCACAGAAATTTAATGTACTATCAAAAACATAATGTTCTGATGTTGCACCAAACTGTAACACCTAATCTATTTGAAATCTATAGCTTTGTTTGTTGTTGTTTGCTGTAGTACAGAATTTCTTGGAAAAATACTGCAAAATACTACATTCACAGAAAACTGCTCAAACTTTACACAATCAATATTTCTGAAGCATGATTTAAATCATCACCAAAGTCTCAACTTAAAATAAAAGACTGTAAGCTACAGCAAACACAGTATATTTGATTGTAACAACTTATTACTTATAAAAGTGATACTTCTATAAAAAACTTTTTTTACTTGTACAAAGTACTTTTACAAAGGTGATAAAAAGACTCACCTGCTATAAAGAGGATAGCAGGTGAATTTCCTCTGAATATGCATATGTCCATTAGACAAGAGTCAACTTCCTTCACTCCCACTTTAAAATAAATTCAAATGTTTGAATGCCTATAAGTATAACTGCTGGTAGGCTATGGTCTGAATTCCAATCTCTTTTTCTTGTGTGACACCAATATTTCTTAAGGTGAAGTGAATTTACAGGCTAGAATACTGATGGAATGACGGAGTGTAAACTGTACAACTGGTGTGCACTACCTTGTCAGTTTCCCGTTGCATATGCCGACATGTCCAGCAGGACTGGGTCTGTGACAGACAGCAAGATGCAAAAACTACATACACCACTCCCCTTAATGCAACAGGAATTTAGTCAGAAAACTGAAGCACTCCAGACGAGCAATTCTGAAATCATAATGTACATTCCTCGGATTAAAGAAAAAGATAACACTGGCAATACATACATTCCCCACAACAGGAAGTTTAAACTTACTCTGTCGCCATGAATAATGCCTGAATCACACTGTTCATATAACATGTATTTCCTAAGTTAATCAGACCAGTCTTTCCTGTTTCAGATTTTCCAGAAAATCCAGACAAACAAGACTGCAAAGAACTGGACTGAGATGTCCAGGCACTCTGATTCAGTATCATTTTAATTTTCTCCTCACTGGGTTTGGGAAGATCCTATGAAAAAGAGAAGGGTGACATGCTATTTTCTAATATCAGCTTGTTAAGGCATTTGTTTTATAACATCCCACCCACAAAGCTACCTTCTACCAGTATGAATTACCCAGCCTTCCCTCCCTCTGACAAAGGCACTTTTCTTTTAAACACATAAATATGATGCTATGTACTAACAATAGAACAGCCTGGCCAGTTATCAAAGTTTCATCATGCATTCATGGATATCAAATGGCTAGAGACTAGTCTTCGGGTTCTAAAGGTATTACGAAATTAGGATCTTACACACCATCTTTGATCTGCATTCCTACCATTTATTTCTGCCAAGAATAAAAGCTTTTCAAATTGTAGACTACAGAACCAAGATGTAACATTCTGTTCCTCATGACACATGTATATCTAATGTGGCCTCACAATAAAAAAAAAACTAAGAAAGCTAAATACTGTATTAACTTTACAGAAAAAATCCCTATATGGAATAAATGGCCCATTTCTCACTATTTGTGAGAAAATAGTGCTCAGGCACAGCTGAACATTTCCTACTCTCCCACATACACATAAATCCTTTCTTTATGTTAACTAGAGATATAATGGAGACAGCTTTTTTGATCAGGAAATCTTTCAGCCTATTCAAATAACATTCCTAAAATCACAAGTTAATCCAATGTGAATTTTCTCTTCAATAATCACACTGGGTAAGATATGTCTACAAACAGCTCCTTTTACACAAGGATACACATTGCCACATTGTATTCCTCAGTTCTTTTCTGGATGAAGAAACCCAACATTTAATTTTATAGCAATAACACACCTCTTACTGGGCAATCAATTTTGCAAATTTTACAAATTAATCATATCCATTCTCATCACAAAATGTCCCGCAACAGATCTGAGAGCCTAGTCTGTGTTTGAGAGCTCTAGAGAGCTAATTTCAAAACTGCAAGATTTCAATATTTGAATTACCATACCTTACCTTGATAGCTTCCAAAATAGGTTCATAGAGTTCTGGGAATCCAGAGTAATGATACATCATACAGTGTATTAACTCACTAAGCTGTCCTAGGAATGTGGCACTGGAGGGCAGGCTATTGCTTTTGAAGGATTTTACCAACTTGACCACATGTGGTACAATCTAGTGTTAAAAGAAATGGATCAAAGCATTTGCTTGAGTAAGCTTAACATATTTTGCCATGCAACACATGTTGAAATTCAGAGATTTCAATAAGACAGTGAAAGTATTTCAGTATATGAAGTTGTGTTATTGTTAACCATCCACACTGAATTAATCACTTGCACTCTTTACTACAAAACACCATCTCAGTTTGTTTATAAACCAACTTACCCATTTGAGAACTTATTAATTCTATTAGGTTGTACAAATCAAGATCACTAACACAACTGCAATATTGACTTGCTATCCTTTACTACCTTCTACAATTTTATACTAATCTGATAACAGACAACTCCCTTCATATTTTATGACCTCCTTCTGGGATCAGTTTAAAACTCCATCTAGTCAGTGTGATTCATCCCAACCCTCCCTACAAAATAACTGAGGAAAATATAGAGTGTGTTATGTATTTCATATCACTACATTTTAAGCTGTTATTAGTCTTCATGTCAGGTGTTAATAATCAGCAATGCTCTCTGACTCAGCGGAGCCTTTCATTAAGGGGGGGGAGAGCAAGTTTGCTGCATCCCTTTTCCCTCTCTTCTTGCCCAGATGTTTGGAAAATACCTTGGGGAAAACACTGCACTGGACGTTCACTGCAAGAACAGTAATAGCAGGGTGAGCTAGCTTTCCCAGTATAACCTCCCAGGTATGCCCCCAAACCTCTCCAACAGCTCTTGGATGGCTTCAAGGGCTGTGGGAGGGGGGAAGGGAAGTAGGCTTGGCCATATTGGTGCTTCAGGTCCAGCGCCTCATTGGATCTAGGCCTTTAGAAAAGTGTGGCAAAAGGACAAAAGGCAAGAGTTTGTAAAGACCTTCTCTTATTAAAGCTCACTGAAGCTTCTGCTGGATCAAAGGGCCTCATTTCAGCAGGGCTTTATTTCACTAGATACATCCACTATAGCAATCAAAACTTTAAAAAGTAAAGTGTTAAAAACATGACTGATTATTAGTATAAGCAATAGTTCCTCTATGAAGTTTTCTCTACCACATACATTCAATGTCCTAAGTAACAATATCTGTCACAATCTTTATTTCAAGCTGTTTTGTACAATAGTTCTTGCAGACAGAGAAGCTTACAATTAATCCAGACATCTATTTTAGCCAGACATGATATTTCTATCATTTATAAACATTACTATGAATATGTGTTTAAGAATTAGTATTTTGATGGTTGTTGTAGGTTTTTCGGGCTGTTTTGCCGTGTTCTGGAGGTTTTTCTTCCTAACATTTCATCAGTCTCTGTGTCTGGCATCTTCAGAGGATGTGAGTTAGAACTCTGTGACTGGCGAAATATTAGGAAGGAAAACCTCCAGAATACAGCCAAACAGCCCGAAAAACCTACAACAACCATCAGATCCTGGCCATAAAAGCCTTCAAAAATACAATTAGTACAGCCGTGCCCCGTTTTACGATTGCCCTGCATTACAACGAATCCGCTTCACGATGAAAAAACGATGGTCTAAATAGGGTTGTTTCGCTTTACGATGATCGGTTCCCTGCTTCGGGAACCGATTCTTCGCAAAACGATGTTTTTGTAACAGCTGATCGGCGGTTTCAAAATGGCCTCTGGGTAATTAAAATGGCTCCCCACTGTGTTTAGGGATGGATTCCTTGCTATACAGGCACCGAAAATGGCCACCATATGGACGATCTTCGCTGGACGGTGAGTTTTTAGCCCACTGGAATGCATTGAACGGTTTTCAATGCGTTTCAATGGGCTTTTTATTTCCGCTTTACGACGTTTTCACTTAACAGCGATTTTCCTGGAACGGATTGTCGCTGTTAAGTGAGGCACCACTGTATTTTACTTCTGCGTCCATGCAATATTGCAACTTATTTAGAAGTTCACTGCTCAGCTATCAGATCCAAACTCTTCAATTATAAGTACTGTGATTTTGCAGCACATGAATATTTTTGTTTATGAACAAGACTGCAGCCGAAATTCTAGAGAGAAGAGTATGAAATGCCCTATCGTAATTGCCAGTAATCTACATATAGTTTCTATGCAGTAATTTGAGGGCTCAGACAATGACCACTTACCATATGAAAAGCCTCTGGAGAATGCTGAAAACTAAGCAACATGTGAGAAAGGACAGCCAAAGCACCAGGTCTCACAAGAGGAAACCAAAGTCGATTAAAAACCTTTGAAAAACAAGCATAAGTAATAATATAATGTTGAGATATACAGTAATAAATTAATTTCAGTTTCATATTAGACAATATTTACATCCCTCTGGATCAGAGTAATTAGAAGAAAAACTGATCTCCAAAAAAAAAAAAAAAAAAAAAAAAAAAAAGCTNAGTGCACAAATGAAACAACCTCACAGTGAAGTGATCATACGTACCAGTTCAATCTTAAGCAAAGTAACATCAATAAGGATGGTAAACTTCTGGACTGCAGCTAGTCCTTTCAGCAGTGCTATCACCCAGGTCTCCACATGCTGAGCCAATGGCCAGGACAGCCACTCAATCATTCTGAAAAGTGATGTTCACATGTTAGTATTCCGGCCACAAAAATGTTTCAATTTCTTAATTGCCTGAAAGCTGGTATTGGTTTACATACCAGAATCACATGAAAATCACTTTAAGTCACATTTGGAGTAATGCTGTGCACCAGTGTATATACTGCAGGTAAGCTGCACTCAACCTGTAGTATTTCAGCTTGGAGAAATACAGTGCCATGGACACAGATAAAACATTTTTATCCTGTCCCTATTTTCCACTAGCCTGAAAACATTTGTTACCAAGGGATAATCCGACAGTTCATGAGGTCCTCATTTAGCAAGGTAAATTAAACATGGTGCCATACTTTGCAATGCTTGGCTGAACAAAACAAACAAACAAATGATGTGTAATACTCACCAGAAAAACAAAACAAAACAAACACAAGATTCTTGTCCCGCTTCAAGGACAAAGGATATGAATGAACAATAAGATTAGAGCCTTCATTTTCATTCCAGTACAGTGGTGCCTCGACTTATGACTGTCCTGACTTACAATCATTTTGAGTTATAACCAGCTCCGGCCGCAAAATTTTGCTTCTACTTGCAACCGGAGCTTCAAGTTACAACCTGAAAAAAGATAGGGAAAAAGGCAGGGAATTCAAATTGTTAGCCGTTGGTGGCAAAGAGGCTGCTTCTTTGCAGCTGTTTCACCCCAGCGGTTAGAGAGTGGTCCATTTGGAGGAGGCTTCGGACTGCCTGGTAAGGTGCTGCTTTCTACTTAAAAACTGGTTGTTCTGGGTAGGTTTTGCAGAGTGGGTTTGGGCTGGATGGTGGGGTTATGTTTCTATGCTGTGATGGGTCTTGCAGGGTTTGTTTGTTTTTTGGGTTCCCCCCATTTCCAATGGGTCTTTGTTTGCTTTTTGGTGATTTAGATATTTTTTGCATTTCCGATGGGTCTTGCAGTCTCTGCTTTTTGGTTTTTTCTTTTTGCATTTCCGATGGGTCTTGCAGGCTCTGTTTGCCTTCTGATTTTTTTCTTTTTGCATTTCCGATGGGTCTTGCAGGCTCTGTTTGCTTTTTGGGTTTTTCTTTTTGCATTTCTGATGGGTCTTGCAAGCTCTGTTTGCTTTTTGGGTTTTTTCTTTTTGCATTTCTGATGGGTCTTGCAGTCTCCGTTTGCTTTCTGTTTTTCTTTTTTCTTTTTCTTTCTTTCCTTTGCATTTCCAATGGGTCTTGCAGGGTTTGTTTGCTTTTTGGTGATCTATTTTGCATTTCCAACGGGTCTTGCAGGGTTTGTTTGCTCTTCAGGGTTTTTTCCCCTTCGGTTGAATGGATTAATCGCGTTTCCGATGGGTCTTGCAGTGCTTCTCCCCCGTGGGGGTACCATTCCCAAGGTTGCTAAGCCACATAGGTGTTCTAGTGAGGGAAAACTCTCCTAGCATTCTGTGGCTGCTTCTGAGAGGAAGAGCTGCCACCATTCCTCCTCTTTCTCATTATCATAGAGAGCTTGCTATAGAGGCTTTTCCTTAAGCCAATCAGAGGGCTTGATTAATTACCTTTCTCCAGACCAACCTTAATAACATGATGTAACCATTGTTCTATCTGAACTCTGTCTACTATCTGTAATGCTCTCTCTACCTGTGACCTTGTAATGTTAATAAAAGGACAGTCTCCTGCGGGCAGGGCAGACCGAGAGAGACCGAGAGAGACCAAAGGCAGAATGTCACAGACGGAGAAGACTTCTCATTCTGTAACCTTGAGTCGCCCACCAGGAGTACTGCTGGCAGACATCCATCTGTGTGTGTGGCTGACTTCTTTAATCTATTGCTAAGAGACTATTTGCTATCCTATTATCTATTATCTGGTGATCACCACAAAGCCCATCAGCCTGCTCATTGCCTGAACCCAACATCCCCCCCCCTTTTCCGCCAGAACAGATTAATTGCATTTCAATGTATTCCTATGGGAAATGGTGCTTTGACTTGCAACCATTTCGAGTTACGACCCATCTTCCAGAATGGGTTAAGTTCCTAAGTTGAGGCACCACTGTATTTTCTCTGGGAAATAACTGCAACTGACCTTCACTAGCCAGCATACGCTATGTCTGAGAGAGGGACCCCCAGCAACTACTTCATCTACTGGAGTTTTTTTTGGGTGAGAAGTTGATGTTTCTACTTCCTTTATAAATGCTGGGGAGAGGCTGTTTCATGACTGACCATTCTATTTTCCAATCAGGGAACTCCTCTATCATGCCTCTCCAATTACAAATCTTTAGAGTGGATGTTGAAGGACTCTATCAGAAAACTAGTATTGTTCCAATGGATTCCATGCTGTTGGTAGATGGCAATTACAGTATAACATAACTAAGTGGGAAATGGTATCCGATTATCACTAGTCTGGATGACACCAAAGTTCCCAATGCAAGAATGGCCATCTTACAAAGGCTTTTTACTACCTTCTGTCAAGACCACACACACAGAACATCTATCTGTCAGAGGGTCTTCAGAAATGGTTAACACTTGTATATTTCATCCAGTTTTACCAAAATAAACAATTGCAGGCAAATGTTGAATTCACTATTATAATAATCAGGGAAACAATTTGAAGCTTTGAGCAACAAAGCAAGATCCTTTCTCAGGCCTGAGCCAGTTAATAATGGAATTCTTACACTCTGAACTATAGTAGTGTCTAAGAAAGTCAAGGAGATGGGTTCTGAAATTTAAGTACCTCATTTACTCAATACTAAGAAAAAAAGTTGTGCTGCTGGAAAAAAACATTTAATATTACAAAATATTAAACCTTATACTTCAGATACAAAATTCCCAGGCAGAAAGAACAACTGTCTATAATTCTATGACATGCTTCTACAGCTACTGAGAACTATGCAAAAGCATTACGAGACAGAGATCCTGCTGAAAATAGAAATATGACAGGCAGGTATTTGTGTTCAGTTTAATCATATCTGTTCACCACAAGTTTACTGGGATTCGAGGGTAAATCATCAAATGAGGTTGCCCTAGCACCTCTTCATCTGTGTTACATACACTGCAAATTTTCAAGGCTTTAAAAACATATATTTATTACATCTCCTTACAAAATGCATTTATGATATAACTTTGTAGGGTTATACGATTCAGTTGATTAAACAATTTTAATTGGAGTAATTAATTAACTATTTAAGAAGACATGTCTGATTAGTCAACAGAATTCGAAAAAACACAATAAATGAATACTTTTTAGAGAATGTGCAGAATGCTGAAATTCAGAAGATGCTTTCTGCCTCTTCTCTCACAAAGAAATGAATATCTCTTCTGAGATGATGCTTGCAACAAGCCTTTTCTTCTCTGAAATATTTCATTGTTTTATTCCTGTGGAAATGTATGTGGACTTAATCAATTCAAAACCAGAAAGATTGGCTGATATAAATAATACCTGCACAAAGCTTGTGTCATACTTGCATCTTTTACATTTGGATCTGTAGTAAGGCTTCCAATAAGCACAGTAATCATCTGTAATGGGATATGTTGCACCAGACTTGCCAAGGCAACCGAGGGTTCAAAAGAAGTATCTGCAAGAATCAAATGTACCAAAAAAAATAAGAGAGTTACAATTTGCTTCATCCTTTTCCAATTAAAATATTAACTGATATTTGCAGAGTACTATTAAAAGAATCTGGTTATGTCCGGCCACAGGTTCTTTCTAAACAGAAGTCATTATGGGTATCAGCTTTGTATGGGAGAAATGTCTAATACTCTAAACATACATATTTTGTTGAACTACCTACTGTTCCACAGAAATTAACTAACAAGCAATTGACACAGTTGTTATGTGCCCTTATGGTGGCTAAACAACTGATACTGTAATATTGGAAGGATAAACACCCACTTTCTATGAATCAGTGACTGAGGATTGTATAATTCTTTTAATAGCCAAATATGTAACATATAGATGCCAAATTATATGATAACCTTTCAGAAAAGGCTATGGTAAAAAAAATTTCATACAGTACTCCTAAAACTTCATTTGCAGTTGTTATTACTGTTACTGTATTCAGTATCTTTTTATTTAGTTTAGTTTTTTTCTTCACTATTTGTGGTTTTGTTCTGTTCTATTGTTTCTTCATTTGTTTTAAAATGTGTGTGTGTGTGTTTAGTCGTTTAGTCGTGTCCGACTCTTCGTGACCCCATGGACCAGAGCACGCCAGGCCCTCCTGTCTTCTACTGCCTCCCGGAGTTGTGTCAGGTTCATGTTGGTTGCTTGTCCCACATATAGGTTTCTCAGGAGACAGATAAAGTGGTCAGGCACTCCCATTTCTTTAAGAACTTGCCATAGTTTGCTGTGGTCCACACAGTCAAAGGCTTTCGCATAGTCAATGAAGCAGAAGTAGATATTTTTCTGGAACTCTCTGGCTTTCTCCATAATCCAGCGCAAGTTAGCAATTTGGTCTCGAGTTCCTCTGTTTTAAAATACTGTAAATAAAACTGGTGCCATTGAAACAGTTCACTCATGTTCACTCCATCTTAATCAATGCATATACAGTCGACCCTCGATGTACGCACAGCT